CGATTCCGATCTCTTGTTATTGTTTGTTTGCTTTGAACATTTAATCATTTATTTGTACCACTACCACTCAACTGTGTATTAAATTTCATTCAATTATGACGATTCCTTCATGGTGTTGCAATTTTCACAAACCTGAGTTTATGTTCTTGGTGGATTTTTTCTCTAATGCAGCTTTCAATATAGAGACAATTATCTCTATGCCAAAAGTAAGGGCAGTACCGACGTTACTCAATTAGCACTATGCAGGGGCGAATGCAGCTGAAAGATAACTTTCCCCCGCAACTATCTACGATTACATTAGGAAGGGAACTACTGTTCAAATTGGATTCTGAACCAATAAAAACATCCATGGCACCGAGCGCCAGCCACTCGACGGGCATCAGGCCACTGTCTTTGAAAGATTGGCAATTACAGATGAACAATTTCCTAATAAGTATTTTGCAATGAATAAATACACGAATCAATTCAATGAAAATCACTAAACAATTTCTCAGGCAGATGAAGGTGCCGAAGTCTATCGTGGGATTTGAAACTTTTCAAGTAACAAGCTGGGTGTGTGCTAATTATCCAACCCTTATTATCGAAGGTACAGAAATAGTTCATTTAAACAAAAAAAAATCGAATTCGGGAAGATGGCAGAATTTCCATGGTGAAATATTTCAATTCCTCAAGCTTTCCTACTTTACTCCTCTTGGAAAGTTGACATGAAAGTAATACTTATCGATCGTGGATGATGGGAGTTCTTACATGTAACAACTGTTTCATATCCTGACAGTACATCTGAAAAAGATAAGTGTCCGTTTTATGACTTAAACAGCTTAAAATACGACTATCTACCAAGGCACCGAGTGAAAGTTCAATATTTGATAGCAGACACCGATGACGGAAAAATCTCAGAGACATATTAAAGTTCCATTTTGAGCCAATTCACGCGAAAGACTTGCCTGTCTAGTCTATGAGTTCTTTCCTATTGTATACTACAACACTGAAAGAAAATATTTCTATATTAATCAAAAGAATTGCCGAAAAAGAATTCAGATTAAGGATGATTTATTATCCCTGAACTACTTGTATGTTTCCAGCTCATTTGTCGACTGCCATCAGAAGACACTTTGGTCCAGATTCTCTAATGGATTGAAAATGAAAACTTTGCAATAAAAACATTACTGAACAACTATTGTCAGAATCTGTAAGAATAAAGCTAAAGAGAAAAGTTCGAGATAAAGATATAAAATTTGATGAAGATGCCTATACTTCAAAAGGTGAAATAAACAATCACAAGAGAAAACACTGGATTAAAAATTCGCAACACATTGGACGAGTGTTGGACCCAAAACAAGCATCACATTAATTAAGAGACGGGTTTTCTCTTCTGGAGTTACGTATTGTATATATACTGCAGAAGGTCGGGACATACCGAAGGCAGATGCTTCAGAAAAATTTGACAGGTCAAGAAAACACAGAATGCGGAAGAAAGATGAGCATTCTTGGCTGACAGTTAACAACTGTCCAACAACTGAAGTTACGAGTTTGGAAGAGTTTTTGATTGATTCAACTGCCAAATCACACCTGCTGTAGAAATAAAGACTGGTTCCACAACTTTAGAAAAAGTACTACATCTTTGATAGTAGGTGACAAATAACACAGGAATTCTAGGAATTGGCATGGAATTTAAGAAAATTATGTTCATAAAAACTTGCAAATAGTTTACTATATCGAATATAATTTGAAAGTTGGAGACTTTCTCTAGTTCAATTTTAGTAGGGAGAAAGTATTTATTAGTTACTGATGATAACTCTCTTAAAGAAAAGGTATTTAAATTAAAGAGGAAAATATAGTTCTCAGTGGTTTTTAGATGTATTTAGCTAAATGACCATAAGAAACTAAGTGTAAAAGAACAGATGAACTGTAGATTTTATACATGGACAGTACATGAACAGTTTGAAGTTTTTTCATTGTAAGTTAGATATCAAACATGAACGTACGCCCAGTTATACTGCTCTGTGGAATAGCGTTACATAAATTAAATCAGACTGCAATGGACGGAGTAAGTTATATTTCAAGACAATACCTTACAACCACATTTTTGGGCTGAGGTTTTTGTTACATTTGTTCATATTAGAAATGGATGTGATCATAAATTAACAGAAGAGTTAATTCTATCGAGAATTGAAATAAATTACCTTAAACATTTCTGATAATCTTATATTTGTTCATGTTCATAAAGGTAGTAGGAATAAAGTTCGAACTAACTCGTAATTTTAGTTGCCTGCGCTTTTAAGCACTAACGGCTGTAGGATTTTAAATCCCAAGTAATGTAAAATGATGGGAAAGATTCACATAAAAATTGATGAAAATAAAAACGGTTTTGTGCGTCTGTTTGAAAAAAAAATCTATTACGCAAAGTTTGACTTGATAATTAAATTTAACGGTCTAACTGATCCTGAAGATCATTTAAGAGTTGATCAAGTTGAATGAATTAAATTTGAGGAAATTCCTAGAAACTCCTCTCCTTTAAATAATAGTGACTGGGAAAAGTAGATATCTTAAAAACTAGTGAACTCGTTGACGTTTATTAATTTCCTCCCAATACTAAAACAATACTAAGAATGTTAGAGGAGATCAAGAAATAATATGATGAAATTAAATTCGAAATTATTTCGAATACATTTAACTTTAAATTAAATATTTTAAATCCCAAAACTACAGATTGTGTGAAACGATACTGATTTTCAAATACTGAATATCTTTCAAATGACCAAATGCATGACGTAAGTCATTATAAATGACATGGAGTAAAAATTCCTAAATGATTCTATGGAAAGGAAATTAGTACTGATTAATTGAAAATGAACAATGCAATACAAGAAGAACATATTGTAATGAACGATCGTAACATACTAGATCTAGTTGATATTTTGTAGAATGGAAGCAGTATAACATAGAAATATGAATTTATATTAGTAACACAAGGTATAAGATCAAGGCCAGGAGTTTAATTTGAGGATATATTTTTTCTTGTATTTAATTTTACGATTACTAAATTATTTTTTATATTATTAGCCTATACGCGGCATTGACACCTTGCAAAACTTATTGCGAAATCTGAATACCTTTATGGTAAATTATATGAACCGTATTATACGAAACAATAACCTGGACATGAAATAAAAAGATTAGAAAATAACGCCTGCTATTTTAATAAGTTTATTTACATCTTGCACCAGAATTCCCGACATCTGAATCACGAACTTTATTATATCTTGAAAATTCTAGGATTTTTAAAATTATAATGGTACAACTGTAATAAAAGTTTAGTAATCTTGTTTTAATTGCCTACGTAGATCACAATGTTACGTTTTGAGAGATTAAAGATTTAATTCATAATAATTTTTATTTAATAAATAAAAAGTAAATTTTATTTAACTGGACTTGGAATAACTAAGATTTTATTAGGTGTAAATTTTGATTATATTAATAATTATCTATACTTCCATCAAATAACTTGCATGGAAATGTTAATATTTAGGTTTTAAGTTTCCCATGCCATTGCTAATCTTCCATTTAAAGCTGGAATTTTCTACCAAGCGAACTGCTTGAAAGAGAATTGTTGAAAACGATTTAATACAAAAATATCCTTAACGGCTACTAATAGGAAGCCTTTCATTTTTGTCAAATAGAAATGAATTGGATATAAGTTAATTGGTCAGTTTAATGCCGCAGTTTTCAAAGGGTTTTATATTTCACCACATGAAAACAATTGTGGATATTTTAAATTATCTATTTTCTACTTAAAACTCCGAGATAAACTTTTCAAATGTAAATGGATTTGATCTGAAATGTTGTTTTGGTGCTAATTGGGGTTCACATTTAAGTAACCCTCCATGGACGAGTGGATTTATTTTGAATTTCGGAAATGGTCCTTTGCTTAGCAATCAGGCAAGCAAAAATATTTGTGTTTTCTTCTATAGAATCAGAATTTTTAGCTCTAAGCAAAATATAAAAAAAATCGGTCTGGTTTCTCAGAGTTATAAATGAACTAAATCCGATTCCTAATTGCATTACTGTGATAAGCAAGCTTCTATTTCTTTCACTAAAAATACAATGGAAAATTTTGAAATTAAGCATATTGATTCATTCAAAATTTGTTTAATGATAATTTTATTGAAATTGTTCATATAAATTCTGAAGATAGTTTAGCTTGTTGCTTCACAAAATCTTTACTAATAAAGAATTTTCAATACACGTTGAGCAAAATTTTCCATCAAAATTAATATACTTTTTCGTGTTAGTATTGCGACCGATGGTTCTTATTATTGGTTTGATTGGAGAAATTTTGGTCCTTGAATCCAAAAGAGAAGTGCCATACAGAATAATTGTCGGTTTTTTTCTAAAGTCAGCATGTATGTACTGTGCTTATTTTGGAGTATATAAAATCAATGAGTATTTGCATAAATCATTTGCAATCGAGTATTTGCATAAATCATTTGCAATCGAGTATTTGCATAAATCACTCAAGAGAGCTTATCGAAATAATTGTGAGATTTGCACGCTGGATGTAGGATAAATACATCATACTAAGAATTTGTAGTTTGAATCCAACTAACCGAAATGGGGGATTTGTTTGATAATAAAAATAATTAATGATGTGAACCTTCTTATTTATGCTGATTTTACACATAAAAACAAATAGAGTACAAAGAATTAATCCTGTTGTTGTTTATTATCCCACTTGGCTGGCCAAGCCCACGAGCCCATACGTACTCATGATTGAAGGGGAAGGAAGCAGCTTCTGTTGTGATGGAGCACCCGTAGGTAGAAGTCTGACTTTGGCTCCGTGACGCTCTTACAGTCATAGGAGACCGGGACCTACTGCTTAAAGTGGATTCCGAACCACTACAAACATCCATGGCACCGCCGGGATTCGAACCCGAAATCTGTGGCACCGAGCGCCAGAGCGCTAGACGCTCGGCCATTCAGGTCCCAAATTTGTGAATGCCAACGGCACGCGGTGTTCCCAGGTGGTCACCCACCCAAGTACTGACCGCGTCCCAATGATGCTTGACTTCGGTGATCTAACGAGAACCGGTATATTCAGCATGGTATGGCCGTTGGCAAAAATTAATCCTGAAAACATATATAAATACTTGGGATTGTCAAGCAAAAAGCGTCATAAAAAAGTAAGGATTTATGGGGTTCCATAGGGTGACCAAGTAATTGGATAAAAGAATTTTGGAATTACAAAACTACCCAATTTGCTATAAATAGGTGAACTATCCAAATGAAGTCGAGGCATTTATTGACTAATGACCAATGACGGGAAAGATGGGAGGATGTTTATCGAGTTTGCTACATGTTGGTGGTCTGCAGAGGCTATTTGTATTGAATTAAATATTAACAAAGAATATGTACAGAATACTACATGTGTTACTATAGTTAAGGAAGAAAAGATGGTCCCTTATCTATGGATTACTTATTCGTTTATATGTGGATGCGCTAATATATCGATATAGAATTTTTGCAATAGCTAAAACCACAATAAAAAATATTATGCAAAATAATGTAGATTCGTTTACAATAAGGCCCTAGATAAAGCTTATTCTACTCCAGATTAGTAATGTAAATTGACAATACATAAATGCAAATCAGAATGCAATTTCTATTCTATTTCTACTACAGGGAGTTCTAGCAGCGAATAAATTGCCAGTTCGAATTGCCCAGAATTCAAATTTATAACCTTACTATTGCAACCTTCCAAAAAGCTCAATTGATATAGACATCATAATCAACTTGGCATAAACTTGCAAATTTAATTATTTTTTTATTAACTTTTCGGCTTTCAGCTAAGAAAGAGAAAACCTAAAAAAGTAGAGCTAGAATATGGTATGCTACCTCCCTTTTCTATACCTCTTCGAGACTAATCGAATAACTTCTATATCTACAATATTTTCTTTTCCTTTTGGCCTAGGCATAGATATCATAGTTGATGATTTGGCTTCACTTTTCTTTCTTTCTAATCGAACTACCTCAATTCCGAGACGGCTTCAACTATTCACAAAAATATCACATGCATTTAATTAAGAATAAATTGCATGAGAATGGACAATTGTAATACCATTACTTTTCCTCGCCAAATATTCAGAAAAACATGTATATTAAATTATTTTGCGTGGTATTTAGAGTCATTTGCATTCAGATCGTACACCCTTACTTACTTTTCATTCAGACATAAAAATTACAGTAAAATAACATTTAAATAAATAGAATACATTCTTTTATTCTTCAGTTAATTTAGCACATTTCTAAGCTGAAATTTCAGTACTTACATATTTTAATGCTAACATATATTCGTTTTAAAAAGGATAAAGTTGTTTAATTTTATACTTTTGTTTTTCGCATCAAATTAGCCTCGTTTCGTCTTATTATTCTTTTATTAAATAATTTCCAAGAATTTATTTTCTCGAAAAGTTTATTTTTAGCGAAAGATAATAAATAATAGAATACTTTGAAGTTGATAACATAGTATCAAAATTAAACTGTAAAGTACTAACTATTAAACTGAAAAACTAGTATAGGAACTCATTTAAAAATTATTTACTGCATGGTTGAGTTAGTTTGTTTAGCTTCTAGAAGAAAAAAGTTATTCATATGCGAAAAGTCTTAATACATTTCAAATTATACATTGCAACTAAAGAAGAAAGATATTACATAAAATAATCTTTATTTCAAATTTAAAAAAAAAAAACTTGCTTCTTCAAAGCCCATGAATTTTAAGAAGTGCAACTAAACCTAGTTATATTTACATTTATTCAATGGCTTTATAAACAGAATATATATATATTTAAATCTAAGGGCTAAATTTTATAATTTTTTTACTACAAATATTAATTTACTAAAGGTATTTTGTTAAATGATATAGATAAATAGTATTTTTCGTTTTATTTTAAATTTGAATTTGTTGGGTTTGTAATTATACAGTTCGTCTTATAATATTATTATAGATTTAATTTTTATTTATTTTTACAAACATAACATTTTTGTAATAATTAGTCAATTTATTTTTAAATATAAATTTCATAATTTTAAATTTTCTATATTCTTTTTTTCATTAATTTTATAAAGAATAAAAAGGAAACATTTATTACGAATGAAAAATTAATCTATATGGAAAATTATATATTTAAAGAATAATAAGGTTCTTAAGTAATAATAATAAAAATAATTTTATATTTAACATTATGAAAATAGGTTTGCGTTTAGTAGTTAAATTAAAAAACAAAATGCTTTATAAAAACCAAATATTTTATTAATACGAACTATTCTTTAAATTAACAAGATAGAAATACCTTTTTTAATATTTCTTCTAGTTCAATTAATTTTAACAATATCTTTAAAAGAAGAGCTAAAAATTTGTAAGTTATAAACTTTATTCTAGAATAAATTAGATTTATCTGTTAGTAAATGCACTTTTACTCAATTTAAATACTTGTTTAATGATATACCATAGACTATAAAAGAACTTCTAAACATTTTAAAGATGAATATACTACAAAACATTAAAATAGATTTATTTACATGGAATGCGCCTGTGAAAACAATACCCAGATAGTATTTTTCTCCCAGTTTAAGGACAGCTTTCTAAGCTCATCTTCTCGACTCCTCGTTGTATATTCTTTGCGGAAAAATAAGAAACTTGTTTGTGTACTTTCTGATTGCATCGCAGGCTTTCGTTTTACTGTATTTGCACTTCTTATAAGCTATTCGCATCTTTAACGGAATTTTGGGCAGGAACAGACAACGGTTGATGGTGACAAAAGGGGTGGGGGTGACTAAGAGACGGAAAGCTGCTTTTAGGATAGATCGCAGAAAACGAGAGAGAGAAAGAACAGAACTAGCAGAATAAAACGAACGAAAAATATATTCGATTTTCTTCTTTTTTATTTTCGAAAAAGACCAGAATTGGTTGAGGGATGTAGGGGGAGGAGAATGCCCAAGGCGTTAAACCAACATCTCAAAACCTTTTCCTAAAGGTGAATACGAGAAAAGGAGAAATAAAGAAATTCTACTAAGAGTAAAGAAAATGGGAAAAAAGAACGTTTTTACAGCGTAACACGTGGTGCAGTAAACGCCTTGAGAATTGGAACGTCAGTGTAAAAGGGGGTAAAAAAATAAAGACATAAGAAAAAAAAATTAACAGACTGATGGGTTGGGGATGGGGTGGAAAAATGCAGAATGAAAATACCCTCCGAGGAATATCCCTTCGAATTTTTAGTCGGATATACTCATTGGTTGAATATATTTTCATCCCTTTCTTTCCACTGCAAAACCTGATTTTTTTAATATTTTTTTTATTTACGTTTGCAAAAGGGATTGAAAGGAAGTGAAGAGATTCAGTGTGAGATGCGCAGACTGTACCACTGGGATCTTCCAGCCGTTATGATTGAAAAGGAGCTAAATAACTCAGCATTTGATAATCGAAGTATATCTTCGTAGAACCTGTTATATTTTGGAGAATGTGTCGGCATCTGAATTAATACGTTTGCCAGAGGTTCTGTTAGCTTCTATGTCGTTTCCATTGAATTTCTGATGAAATAAACGGAATTTTAAAGATTGATTTTCTTTCTGTTTCCTTTGGGACGTCTTGCCCTTTGAATGACACGAAAGGAATTTGATTTACATTTTCAAACTAAACAATTTTAAGAAAGTCAATTCCGAAAGTTTTTTGTTGGATTATTTTGTATTTCAAAATTTCGAGGCGTATTTCTTTAAAAAGTTCGTTACACTCTAGAATTTCACAAAATGGATCCTTCTCAAAAAATACCAAAGGGAATTTAAATATTATATATTTTATGTGAATTCTTTTCTAATTGTTTTTATTTATGGATCTTGGAAAAAAAATAATTTAAAATTTATTTACCTACAAAAATACTGAAACATAAATTAAAAAATAGTAAATTCCTTTTTACATTTTTTTGATTTATTTTCTAAGTACACTGGGATTTTAAATTATAATTTATCTATTGTATTTCTGTAAATGCTCCATGAAGTACATTTACACTCGTGAAAGATTAAGCACAACTACTATATACAGGGATATTTTCGTAAGTCCTAGTCGTCACGGAGTGGATTTGCAAAAGTGTTTATTAAATTTTAAATATTTTTTTTTGTATGCTACATTAGAAACCATATAAATAAGAATGAAAATCCCTTTAATAATGACACTCTTTTTGAACTGCAAGCTATCAAGCATAATTTTCTTTCTTGATCATTGTTATTACTTTAAAATTACGTGGTTACTTATTTTCAATCCTGCACATTTGTTTCATAAATCACTGTGGGAATTAATTATTCGCTATGATAGGTATTTCCATATTTGTAGTAAAGTTAATTTTATTTCTGGTACACTTATTTGTGGGTATGTAACATATCACCTATCAGAATGTATAGCATGCCTATGCACAACAACGTGTACATATACACATACCACCCATGCACATAAACTTGCCTATTTATGCAGATATATGCACATCAACACGCATACTCTTGCTTATGCTCATGAATACACATTCTCATGCTTAAGCTCATTCACATACATATACGGGCTCAAGGGCGTACATACACGCGTATGATCATATATTGTCGCACCATTCTTTTATATTCGAGCACAAACATGCAAGCATACATATCCACATACATTAGCACTAATATACGTGCATGCGTATACACATACAAACAAACGTACATGTGCAAATATAATAAACATATAAACACACACACACATATATATATATACATACATACTCACTGGTAAACTCACAAATACAAACACGCCTGCAAATACATATGCATACATACGTAAGTAAATATGCAGTTATAGTTGAAGATACATGTATATTTAATTATACAAATTTACCTATATCAGTATAATACTTGAAAAAAGCATGCATATTTAGACATACATATGCATATACGTCTTTATAACCACGTTTACAAGTATTAGCCTATAAATAAAATCGCAATTTTGAGAAGGTTGGATTTGATTTGCAAAAGATTTAATTTTGTTTGCGAAAGGTTTCATTTGATTTAAAAAATTTTCGATTTAAAATGAAACAT